GAAGGAAGGAAGGAAGGAAGGGAGGAAGGAGGGAAAGAAGGAAGGGAAGAAGGAAGAAGGAAGTGAGGAAGGAAGGAAAGAAGGAAGGGAGGAAGGAAGGAGGGAAAGAAGGAAGTGAGGAAGGAAGGAAGGAAGGAAGGAGGGAAAGAAGGAAGGAAGGAAGGAAGGAAAGAAAGAAAGAAGGCAGGCAGGCAGGCAGGCTTGCTTTCCACTTCCCTCAGTCCCCAGGGAACTGCCCTAGCAGTGACTGCAGCAACCAACTTACAGTTGAAAAATTGCTGCATTGCACGGTAGTTTGTGTCTATCTCTCTATCTCATCTCCCCAATTCTGTTCAAAGTTCAAACCTCATGTTTCTGGGGAAAGAGAGTGCCCAGAACATCCTATACATTTGATAAATAGGTTACAGGTAATCTGAGAAAAAGGAACAAAGCAAAGAAAGAAGCACAAAAGAAATCAATGAGGAAGCAAACAGGCTGGTTCACACCCCCAAATCTGGAAAAGCCACTTCATTCCCAAGCAAAGCTCCACATGGAGAAGGGGAAGCAGAAAAAACTGCAGCGAGGCTGGCTGTGGTGGTGCATGCCTGTAATCCTAACACATGGAAGCTGAGGCAGGAGGGTCATTGGGAGTTTGAGACCAGGCTGGGCTACATAGTGAGTACAAGGCCAGCCTTCTACAGAGTGAGACCCTGGGGCCGGGGAGATGGCTCAGTGAAATAAGCACTTCCCTGGCAAGTGCAACGGTCTGAGTTCAATCCCGGGTTCCGCCAAAAAATAAAAATAAAAAACAAATCAGCCAGACTGAGACCCTGTCCCAAAAACCAAAAAGGAAGAAAGGCAAGTTGCACTGTTGCTTCCTTGTTTCCAGTGCACACTAGGACTCCAAACGCCTCAGCCCTGCCAAGAGCAAATGGAATCCAAAAAGAAGAAGGCTCTGCACTGACTCTGCAAATGCAGGCAAGAGTTCTTTGCTTTGTGTCTGGCCTTGTTTTATTTCCTCAAATGGACTGATAATCTATAGTGAACCAAGACCCAGAGTGACCCAGCCTTTGAACAGAACTGATGTCACATTTTATCAAACAATACAATAATTACAGGTTTGTCTGCATGGCTCCTTAGGTCCTAGAAGCTGGGAAGGCAGGAACAGAGCCTTGTTCTCCAAGTTTGTCTTACAGTCTGGTGTGCACTGTTACACAACTAGGCTAGCTAAGGGCATCTGGAACTTGCCAGGGCCCTCCTGCTAGCTTCCTGCCATCAGCAACTTTTATTTTGGAACTCATTCTAGGTCTGAGACTCTGATGATCCATTAGATGAAACTGAAGCTGGAGGGACTGGTAGACTGTCTCAGGGTCCTCTGATTCTAGGACAGACTTGTCAGAAAGGACTCAAGGCCTGAAGTCAGTTGCTCTATCCAGTAGCCTTGCTGACTGTAAAACTCGGCCTACGGCGGCCTCTAGTGGACAAGTGAATCACCATCTTTCCTGGGAGGAGGTGGCTCCCTCCTCTCTGTGGTGCCAGATCTTTATGTTTTCCATCCTTAACCCTAGAATTGAAAGCAATCAGAATGGCAGCAGCAGGGGCTGGGGAGATGGCTCAGTAGAATAAGCACTTCCCTGGCAAGTACAAGGGCCTGAGTTCAATCCCCGGTTCCGGGAAAAAAAAAAAAAAAAAAAGAATGGCAGCAGCAGGATACTGGACCCTACCAGGACAATAGGCCACCAATCTACCCATCTACTCACCCATCTACCTACCCATCCCTTTATCCATTTATCCATCTACCCACCCTTCTAACCATCCACCCCCTACCCTTCCATATATCCATCTGTCTATCCATCTATCCAATCATCCATCCACCCACCCGTCCATCTACCAACCTGTCCATCCACCTATCCACTCATCTATTCATTAACCCATCCATCCATACACCCATCTAACTATCCATCCATCCATCCATCCATCCATCCATCCATCCATCATCCATCCACCTGACCAGTGCATTCAGAGGTGCTCATTCTGCAGAGTACATAGCTCTTTGCTGAAATCTTAGGAAGAAAAGAGATATAAGACTAAGACAAAACTCTCTCCTTAAGGAGTCTATGATCTCAATGAGAAGGGGGAAAAAAATTAAGAAAAAAAAATTTTTTTTATTTGTGTGTATGTGTGTGTGGCCAGCTCAGCCCACCAGGGGGCGGGGCTGGCTGGCATGTGGTGCTGGGGGATTGAACCATGGTCCCTGTGCTTTAGTTAAGCTTGTTCTAAGTAGGTGCTTTAGACCACTGAGCCATCTCACCAGCCCCCAATCAAGAAATTTTTAAAAAGTATACCCACAGCCAGGTGCCAAATCATTGCAAGGGTGAGGTTCAAAGAATCAATGCAAGCTCTGTGCCATTGCTTTCTCATCCATAAAATAAGGATAATGGATGTGGCTGTGATGAAGACTAGAATAATATAGTTAGAGCATTATGTCATTATTACTGTTATTTGAGAAATCTGTGTTTATCATTAAACATTTAGAAAACTCAGTGAAGGTCCTTGTTTTTGCAGTACATAAAGTAAAACTAGGATGAACAGAAAAGATTAGCATGGTCCCTACACAAGCACAACTCACAACATCATGGTATGTTCTATATTTTATGACTTTTGAGGTCAGTGCTGGGGATCATGCATGCTAACTAGACAAGTGCTTTGCCACTGAGCCACATCCCAACCCTGTATTCCATATTTTAAATAAATAAATAAATTTAAAATAAAGCACATTTGCTGGGCACTTGGGAGGCTGAGGCAGCGAGATTAGTTTGAGGAAGATAGTCAAGAGTTTGAGGTCAGCCTGAGCTGCATAGTGAGTTCAAGACCAGGCTGAACTACATAGCAAGAACCTGTCTCAAAAAAACAAAACAGGGGCCAGAGAGATAGCTCAGTAGAATAAGCACTTGCCTGGCAAGTGCAAGGGCCTGAGTTCAATCCCCAGTTCCGTGAAAAAAAAAAGGGAGAAGGGCGGGGCCTGGAATGTAGCTCAGCAGCACAGTATCTGAATTATTAACCTAGAAATACTATCATTGGAGTTGGGGAGATAACTCAGTGGCATAAGCAACTGCCTGACAAGTGTAAGGTCCTAAGTTCGATCCCCAGTACCAAAAAAAAAAAAAAAAAAAAAGAAAGAAAGAAAGAAAGAAAGAAAGAAATACTATCATTGTGTTGTTGGTGTTCTTTCTTGTTCTTTGAGATAGGGTCTCTGTAGTTCAGGCTGGCCTTGAACTCACAATGATCCTCCCGCCTCAGACTTTTGAGTGTGGGGATTAGAGCTATGTACCACCACATCCAGCATGTTATTGTTAAATTACTATAGCAACCCTATAGGAAAGTTATATCCTCTTTACTTTATGATAAGGAACACGAAGCTCCTTAGTAATTTGCCCAAGGTCACATAATTATTAAGTGGCAGTGCCAAGACTCAAACCTGGTTTACCCCAAAGTGAGATAAGGGATGAGTCAGCATTAATTCTGAGATTCTGAATACAGGTTATTGGCAGACTGGTCACATCCCTGTCGGAACGAAGACAACTGGAGAAAACTGGTCAAGGATGGCAAGGGAAGTACTTATATTAGTTAATATTTATTTAGGGGACTGGGGAGATGGCTCAGTATAATAAGCGCTTGCCTAGCAAGCACAAGGGCCTGAGTTCAATCCCTGGTTCCGCAAAAAAAAAAAAAAAATTATTGAGCCTTTCTATTCCAGGGACTATTTTACCATTTATAGGTGCCAATAATTTACTGTTCATAAAACCCTATGATTAGATAGGAGGGATAAGTTAAAGAGATGTACTATGCAACAAGCTGACTATACTTAACAACATTATGTGTTCTGGAAATTGATAACACAGTAAATGTTAAGTGTTATCAGAAAAATGTATGTGAGGGAACGTATCTGTTAACTTGCTCAATACTCTGGTTTTTCTTCAGATCATATAAATCTCTTGCCTGTTAACTCGCTCAATTTACCCATTCTAAAATGCATACATATTTCAAAACAAGCTGCACAGGGTGGTACACACTTGTAAGCCCACCACCCCGGGGAGCTAAGGTAGGAAGATCACAAGTTTAGACCCAGCCTGGACAACTCAGTGCCTTAGCAGGAACTTGTCTCAAAATAAAAAATCAACCAGGTGTGGTAGCACATACCTGTAATCCCAGCACTTAGGAGGCTGAGGCAGGAGGATCACTGCTAATTTGAGGCCAGCCTGGGCTATATAGTGAGTTTGAGGCCAGTCTGAACTACATGACAAGACTGTGTCTCAAAATACAAACAAACAAAACAAAACAAAATCAAAAGTTCTTAGAATGTAGCTTGGCATGATGACCCCTATGTTCAGTCACCAGTACCACCCAAAACAAAAGCACCATGGTTTTTTTTTTTTTTTTATTTTTTTTTTTTTTTAATTTGTGTGTGTGTGTGTGTGTGGCCAGCTCAGCCCACCAGGGGGCGGGACTGGCTGGCATGTGGTGCTGGAGGATTGAACCGCGGTCCCTGTGCTTTGCTAAGCTTGTTCTAAGTAGGTGCTCCAGACCACTGAGCCATCTCACCAGCCCCATCACCATGTTAAATATGACAGATATAATTTTTGTTTCTCAGTGAAAATAAATAAAATTTCCATTAAAAAGCTTTATTAAAAATTTTTTAAAAAGCTTTATTAGGCGGAGCTGGGGAGATAGCTCAGTAGAATAACTGGCAAGCACAAGAGCCTGAGTTCAATCCCCGGTTCAAAAAAAAAAAAAAGCTTTATTAGGTAAGTACTACTTTTACACACACACCCTTTTTTGAGGCAGAGCCTAGCTAGGTAGTTCCATCAAGCATTGAACTCACTATGTAGCCCAGGCTGGCTTAAAACTTTCGAAGACCTTCCTGCCTCAGCCTCCCAAGTGCTGGGATTACGAGCGTGCACCACCACGCCTGGCTTTTATCTTTATTTCAAAGATGAGAAAATTGAGGTGCAGACCCTGAGGATAGATCACACAAACACTGAATGTGGAACAAGTGCTTTAAGAAGTCATGGATGGAAGGAGGTCCTAGAAACAACCAAGTGGAGGATGCTACTTCAGGGGCAGAGATGTAAGGGAGTCAAGGCTTCCCCTCTTGAAAAAGCCTCTTGATCCCAGAACAGAGGGATAGAGGCAGCTATGGCAAGCAGATGCAGAGGCTGCCCGTGGTGCCCATTTTCCTGCAGATCACTGTTTACTGAGCTCACCACCCCCCATAAGTAAATCTCTAAGACAAAGCTGTGTAGGGCACATTTTTCTGTCCTCTGACAGACAAAAGCTTGGCCAGGGTAGGGAAGCTGCTCTAAGTGGACTGAGGACTTGCTATCTCTGCAGACCCTCAGCATACCACGCCCAGAGCTCTCGGAGTTTGAGAATCCTCCCACCACCCTGTCTCCACCACCCATCTTTGTGGTAGCCAGGGAACAGTGTCATTTCTGGCTCCAGTCCTAGATTTCTGTCTGTCCCTGATGAAGGAATCTTCTCACATTGCACTAGGGTTTCAGGTCTCCTGCATTTGTGAGCAAGGAGATATGTGTGTGTCCTTGTAGATTCCCAAGAGCTGTAGAGTTGGGAGCCTCAAGAAAACAAAAACCAGGGGTCAGGTGTGGTGGTGCATGCCTGTAATCCCAGCACTCAAGAGGCTAAGGCAGGAAGATCACTGCAAGTTCAAGGCCAGCCTGGGCTACAAAGGGAGACCTTGTCTCAGAAAAGAAAAGAAAGAAAAGAAAAAGCAGGGAACGGGTTTGATCCTCCGGCATAGGATGCTGGCCCTGCCCCCAGAGCACTCTGAGACAGTGAACCTAGCCTGGGCAACTGAGAGACTTAGTGAGACCCTATAACAATCAAATACAGGGCTGGTGAGATGGCTCAGTGGTCTAAAGCACCTACTTAGAACAAGCTTAGCCAAAGCACAGGGACCACTGTTCAATCCCCCAGCACAACATGCCAGCCAGCCCCGCCCCCTGGTGGGCTGAGCTGGTCACACACACACACACACATGCATACACATAAATAAATAAAAATTTTTTTTAAAAAATCAAATACATTTAAAGAAAAAGGAAAAGAAAGGACAGGACAGTAGGACTTACTAGGGCCTCTGGTGTCTCTTCTCCCATGACTCACTGACTGGGCCCTCCAGCACTTAGGCCCTTATGCTCGCCAGGGAAGTGCTTACTCCACTGAGCCATCTCCCCGGCCCTACCTCCCGTTCCTCCTTTCCACCCTTCCAACCCCTGGTGGCCATTTTTATCTCAGACCTGTGAGGCTGCACCTTCCACCAGTAATATGTTTGGATCTCCAAACCCCTACCTCCCATCATCATGTAAGTCTCCCCTAGAAGTCATTTTTTATTTTATTTTATTACTATTTTTTTAAGGTTAGAAGTCATTTTTTAAAAAAGTTCATTTATTCATTTATTTTTTCTTTTTCTTTTTGAGACATGTTCTCATTAAGTAGCCCAGGCTGGCCTGAAACCTGGGCTTCCTAAGTAACCAGGTTTGTAGGCTTTGGTGACCATACCCAGTAAAGACAGGATCTTGATGGATTGATCTGTTTTGTTTGCAAAGTGACCAGAAAAGAGGAAATGGCCGATTCAATGCAGGAATGCATGGATATGTCTCTAGGTACATGCCTTCATCGGGTGCTAGGTCCAGTGTGGCAGCTGGGGTAGAGCTCAGGGGTGTAGCACTTGCCTAGCATGTACAAAATCTGGGTTCGAATCTCAGCCCTGAAAAAAAGAAAGTAAATGGAAGAAAATGGCATAAAATTCCATCCTGCCATGTGTGGCGTGAGTACATCTGAATTGTTCCCATATCTTTTTGTTCTCTTCCCTTCAGTCATACTATCCCAGTAGCACTGCCTACTATTCTCCTTTACACAAATTAATTCACCTTTTTGCAGCCCCCACAATTCAAAAAAAAAAAAAAAAAAGAAAGAAAGAAAGAAAGAATTTAAAAGAACCCGAGCACTTGAGAGGCCAAGGCAAAACGAAGGATTACCATTTCAAAGCCAGTCCGGGGAACAAGGTCAATTCAAGGTCAGCCTGAACTACCTAGCGAGAGACCCTATCTCAAAAACATATTTTAAAAAAGTAAACTTTCTCCCCTGTGAAATGGAGCCGGGATCTCCTGCACACAGGCGCGGGTGGCCGGTCTGAAAGGGAGCTGCGTGTGCAGCGTATGCAGCACGCTGCCAAGAAAATAGCAAGCCTCCCCCACCAAACGCCCGAGACCCTGGCCCGGTCCAGCGCGGACAGCCTCCCTGCGCACCTCAGGCTGCCCACCAGGGGGCCCCACGTACCGTTCTTTCCGCCCGGCGGGGCCCAAAGCTTCTGCACCTCGGCTGTCTCTGATGACAGCTGTCACCTCTCCGCGGAGCTCCTCCTCTTCACTTTGAACGTCTCATCCCGGTACTCCCAATAGTTCATTCATCCTGAAAATATTTATGGAGCGCCTACTCCAGGCCGTGCTTTGGCGTAGGTGTTGAGGTGAAGAGGAAACCGATCAGACTCAAGGCTGGTAGCAGAGAGGTGAGAGCAAAGGCAGCCCTGGCTTGGACTTAGAGGCAGGAAGGACGGGACCAGCCCCCTTGGCTGAAAAATGAAAAGGACTTTCTTTGTTAGCTTGTAACTCCACGTGGTGATTTTCTTTTCTGTCTTTCTTACCTTTATGTTTTCAAAACAAGGTCTTGCTATGCCGTACAGACTGCCCTTAAACTCACAATGTGGCCCTCAACCCTCAAATTTGCAGCCAACCTCCTGCCTCAACCTCCTCAGGTGCTGTGATTACAGGCCTGTGGTGAATGTTTTTGTTCTGTTTTGTGACGCTGGGCCCCTTGCGTGATATGTTCTTACAATTCACTGAAGCTTTGAGCTCAGCTCTTCTTCCAGGGGCCCAGCCCCTATTCCCCAAACCTCAGCTCACCCCAGTCTCACCCTCACTCCCAATCCCCAGCCCCCTTTGTCCAAGGCTTTAACAAACTCACCTCTCCCCTCAACCACCTCAGCTCTTCCTCTAAGAAATGCTACAGTCATTGATTTTCTGTGGCTCTTAGCTCCTTGTCAGCTCTCAGATAACTAAGGGATGGGAAAACACGGCCACCAACCACAGTGATCCTGTTGGGATTAGTTTTCTTTTTCATTCCTGCTTTGTCCTTTTCTTTCTTTCTTTCCTTCTTTTTTTTTTTTTTTTTTTTTTTTGAGGCAGGGTCTACCTAAGTAGCTCAGGCTGGTCTTTTAACTCACTGAACTCACTATGTAGTCCAGGCTGACCTTGAATTTAGGGCAATCCTCCTGCTTCAGCCACCTGAGTGCTGGGATTGCCGGCATATACCACCTTGTCTGGCTGGGGAGTAGTTTTCACAGGGGATGAGCCTACTAAGTTTTCTATGCATGGCGGAAGTCTAGAGAAGCCCATTGGCTTTTTCTGACGTGACTTCCAAGAAAGATAGAGGCACCTAATGTTCCTAACTGGTACTGTTTACTTAAGTGCCTTCATTTGTCTTTTTTCCTCTTACACTTCCCCAGTTTCCACACCTTCCCACTCATAATTCTTTCAGATTTCCTTGGAAAGAGGCCAAGACTTCGTTGCCCCTAATTCTTCATGACTAATCACAGAATCTTTGGAGTTGGTAGGAATCTCAGAAACTAGTGATCCAGTGGGTTTTAAACTTTTTTTTTTTTTTCCTGGTACTGGGGATTGAACTCATAATCCTGTGCTTGCAGGCAAGTGCTTATTCTACTGAGCTATCTCCCTGGCCCTTAAACTTCTTTTTTAGCCAGGGATCTCATCTCCAACCCAGTCTTATACAGAGCTCCAGTAGGTATGATGAACAGCAGCTGGAGCCTGGCCTAGGAAGCCCTAGGAGTCTTTACAGGTGCAGACTGAATTCATCTCCTTCGAACTGACTTTACAACTGTTCCCAGCAAGTGAGTAACTATGCTTCGCTTCCAAGGGCATCATCCCCTTTGCTTTCAAATACTTCATTTTCAACTGGTCCATTTTCCTTAGGTCTGAAGTGTAAGTCCCTTTCTACTTTGAGATTGGATTCCACAATTAGGGAGGATGGTTCTGTTACTTGGGACAATGGGATCATTTTGGGCAGCTTCAAAGAGAAAGATGAGAATAAGGGAGGGGACCTGCCAGTGGGGTACTTCTGGTGATTATCAGGTCATGGATTTCTAGTTTTAGTCCCTGTTCTCAGAGCTCTGGGCACAGCCTGAGTGCTGGCACTGCCCAAGGGACTGGCTGCAACCGGAACATCACAGCCTGCAGACCCCATAAGGTTGCCATAGATACTGAGGCACAGGAAGCTGCTATGTGTGTTGTGATTTGTGTGTATCTTCCCTCTGATTCCCTGTAATTGCTGCGAGGTATCTGGAGGCTCTGTTGGTTCTAAAGCAAGGGGGACCAAAGAGGATTGGGCAATGGTGTGTGTTTGTGTGCACACACAGAAGTGTCTACAGCGTCCAAACTGCCCCTGTGGCCATGTTAGAGTCTGCTGTTGAGATAGCAGGGAGCGAGAAGGAAGTGAGGTAGAGATCAAAAGGAAAAAGAAGAGAGTAGATGGAGTTTCCTTCTAGTTGTATAAATTGCCACTTTATTGGGATGTTTTACAAAGTAAGAGGCAGGGCCAAGCACACAGTAGGCACTTGGTAAACATTTGTTGGAAGGCAGCTAGCACAATTTACACAGGGGGCCAGGGAGATAGCTCAGTAGAATAAGCGCTTTCCTGGCAAGTACAAGGGCCTCAGTTCTATCCCCGGTTCCACCAAAAAAAAAAAAAAAAAATTTTTTTTTAAACAGGAACATGAGTCATGCCCAGGGTGTCACCTCAATATTGTGGTCATCATTCTTTTACCTAAAGACTCTAGGCAGAGTGCTTCACACAGTTACCCTGAGGAACTCAGTGCAGTGCCCTCAGTCGGGATGAGAGAACGCTCTGGCAGGCACACAAGTCTGGTCAGGGTTAGTAGAGTACTGGTTTTACCTTTTCTTAGGGAACTCGTGGGCAGCCCTGCTCTGCTTGTTCTGACCTCTCTCCATCTCCTCATTCCACTTTACAGCACTGAATATAAAGTTTCAAGTATCAGCATTGGGAGGCCAGCAACCAAGTTGCCTTAAGCACTGGGGAAGGGCAGAGGGATCATCAACTGATAGGCAGCTTTTCTTCTGGAATGCAGGCTAAAGGTCGTTTCTGCCTTGAGGGTAAAGGACAGGACCTGAATGACGTGCTGGGCATGGAGACCCACGCCTGTGATCTCAGCACTTGGAGGCTGAGACAGGAGGAGTATTTCCAGTTTGAAGCCAGTCTGAATTACAAAGTGAATTCAAGGCCAGCCTAAACTGCATAGCAAGAGAAACAAACAAACAAACAAACAATAACAACAAAAAACTAACCTTAAGACTTATTGCCATCCCTAAATTCACAATCTGTTGCCCTACCCACAGTGGGACTTGGGACCTGGCTCTAACCCTGGTGCACAGAGATAGGAAGTGGCCTTATCTGCACTACTTTACTTCCTGTTGCCATGGGAGGGGTGGAGTATAGTGTTCTTTCACCCTACTTCTTGGTCCTCTCTGAGCTCCTGCCAGTCCATTTTCCCTTCCGGACTCCACTCCTTCCTATCTCTTATGGCCCCCACTGGTTAGCTCCCTGGCAGTTGGTAAGGAAAGGAGGATACCTTCCTGGAGTGCCTGCTCCACCCACCCTTCCAGGATGCAGCCTGAGAGAATGGGACTCTTTGGGTCTCCCCATGCCTCTCTTAGTGGAGCAAGGCTGCTGGCCACAGTGGCCCAGCTCCCAGCAGGCGTCCTGCTGTAATCAAGTCTGAACTGGGCAGTCAGCTCAGCTCTGCCCTGCCTGGCTGCCTTGGCCTCTAGCTTAGGTGATAGCTGCCCAAGCAGGTCAGGAACCTGCCCAGCCTGTTTCTCCTCCACTGTGACAGTTATGCACCTCTGTCCCACCAACCTGTGATGCAGAGGACGGATGAAGGGATGGCAACTCCCTCTACCATCCCACAAATATTTTCTAACCCTCTGTGGCTGAGTAAACAATAATGAACAACCTAAGCAGAGGCCCTGCCTCACTGGGGCTTCCAATTTAGTGGAGAGGCCCATATTAAGCAAATAATATAGTTTTAATTAGGTACCTAAATGTTTTATGTCATTTAGCATTAAATAAGTGCTCACAACCCTGTGAAGATATGCTGTTATTATAATTATTACTACTACCACTATTATTAGCATTTCTGTAAAAAGGTAACTGAGGTACAGAGTAAGTGAGTTGTGTGAGGTCATACAGCTTGTTCATTGAGCTGTCCAGAAATCCAGGCTGGTCTCATTCCACAGATCACTCTACTGCACTCTAGATCTCATGCCAGAAAATGTATCATTACAAAATGACAAGTAGCATAAAGGAAAAGGAGAGCTACCCTACAATAAAATAAGGTGGTTTTTTTTTTTTTTTTTTTCGTCCCACTTGCTTTTTTAGCCACCAAAGCACAAAACCTTTTCAGATCATCTCCACTTCTTCCCTTCCAGGGAAACAACGTTCATCTCTAAGGCTCCAGCAGCAGGAAGGCAGCTTTCCACCAGCATCTTGCCCCAGGCTTGGTCTCCCGGATCAGACCTCGCCTGAAGGTTTTGTTTAGTCTTTTCATCTCCCCGTGCTCACGCTCCTTTAGCCGGTTGGTTCCCTGAGGGGAGGCTGCTGATAGCTGACTTGGCAGACTGGGGAAGTCTCCTGAGGGTGCAGCGTGACACAGGCTCCCTGACCTTGGCCCTCTCTCCTCTCCGCGAGAGCGGGGCTGGGGCCTGGGACCCACGTGCGTGGTGGCCCTTCAAGAGAGCTCAGTAGTCCAGACCCTGCCCAGCCTCGCCTGTCCCTTCCTGAGCGCCGGCAGGGGCCGCCCCAGGACATGTCCTCGAGTCGCGACCCTCGGCTTAGTCAGCCGGGCAGGTGGTCCGGCGCCAGGAGTCCCCTCCAGCGTTCGGGTACGCAAGGGCCCAGCCAAGGCGGCTCCCGGGCCGGTGGGCGGGCCGGGGCGGAGGCCCCTCCCAGGGGGCGGGGCCGGCAGGGAAGCGGGCGGGGGGAGCGGCGGGCTGGGGGCGGGGCGGCGGGCGGCGCGGGGGTGTCCCTCCCTCCCTCACTCTCCCCGGTAAAGTCTCGCGGTGCTGCCGGGCTCAGCCCGTCTCCTCCTCTGGCTCCCTCGGCCGGGCGGCGGTGACTGTGCACCGACGTCGGCGCGGGCTGCAGCGCCGCGTCCGCCCGCCCGCCCGCCAGCATGGCCACCACCGCCACCTGCACCCGCTTCACCGACGACTACCAGCTCTTCGAGGAGCTCGGCAAGTACGGCCCTCCCGCCGCGGCCCCCGCCCTGCCCCGCGCCCTAGCGCTCTGCGGCTGCTCGCCCCGCCCCCCGGCCCTGCACC